GAATGCTATTTTTCGACAGAATAGCTCCTCTCTATAAGTTTTGAGGTAGACCCGAACTTATCAACATTGAGTTCATCATCTCTGTAAGAGTTCGATTTTTGCGTTCAGCAACACCAGTTGATTGGGGTGAGTAAGGTACCATTTTTTATGAATGATTCCATGTTCGGAACAATATTCTTCAAACGGTGCATCGTATTCACCACCTCTATCACTACAAATACTTTTTATTCGTTTACCAAGTTGATTTTCAACTTCCGTCTTATAATGTTTAAAGGCATTTAAGGCATCGTCTTTATTTCGTAGTAGAAAGATATAATAATATTTTGTACAATCATCAATGAAAGTTATAAAGTATTTCTTACTACCTTTAGTTTGAACAAATTTCAAGTCACATATATCGTTATGTATTAACTCTAAATGTGTCGTGTTCCTTTAAATTGAGTGAAAATGTATTTTGGTCAACTTTGCTTCAATACATACTTCAAACTTATGATTATGATCAATTTTAAGTGTCGGAATTAAACTTTAATTCATAAGTTTGTGCATAGATTTGTAATTGACTTGTCATAATCGACTGTGCCATAAACAAGACAATTTAAGCATATAAATATAATTCAAAATTTTATTCATAATGAGCTGTTTTAGTACAGTTGTAGGAATGCTCATTTTGAATATTTCATCACATATGTATCATTTCCCAACATGCATCTCATTCTTAGTGAGTACAAATTTATAGGATATGAATACAAGTTTAAAGTCATTTTTGCTAAGTAGAGACCCAAATACAAAATTCTTACGAATTTCAGTACATGTAGGACATTGTTGAGGAGGAACTCTTTATCGAATGTCATCTTCAAAGTACATTTCTCATATCCTTCAACTTTAGAACTTGCAAAATTCTCCATGAAGAGTTGTTCTCCATTTAATTCTTTGTAGTTAGAGAACATAGTTTTGTCCGCACAAATGTGACGGGTAGTACAAGTATCAACCCACCATTCTCTTGAATTTTCAATATTGTTACATTCAGAAACAACTGCTAAAAGATTTATCGCTTGTATACCTTCAGAAAGGATGTCTCTTTCAACCACATTTGTTTATGCGTTCTTCTTAGGCTTTCGACATTCATTAAAACGATGTTCCATTTTTCCACAATTATAACAATTGCCTTTAAACTTCTTGGCATTTTTGGAGTTATCTCTTTTTGGTACAACACCGAAGATCTTACGTTTCTCGTGACAACATTCGAACCAGTTTCAACAAAATTTACTCCAAGTTGAACAATAGATTTTCTTTCGGTGTTTCTATTGTCTTCCTCGATCCTCAAACGGACTATCAATTCCTCCAAATTCATCTCCTTGCGTTTGTACTTGAGATAGTTCTTGAAATCTCTCCACATAAGATAGGGTTTCTCAATGATGGCTGCAATTTGGAAGGACTCACTCACTTCCATCTTTTTAGCGTGTATGTCATGAAATAGAACTTGAAGTTCTTGTACTTAACTTATCATGTTTATGGAGTCCACCATTTTGTAGTCCAAAAACTTGCCGACAATGAACTTCTTTGTTTTAGCATCCTCGGTCTTATACTTTTTTTCCAGCGAATCCCATAGATCATTGGTCGAGTCCATCGAACTATACACTCCATAAAGTGTATTGTCCAATCCATATAGCATGTAATTTTTGCAAAGGAAACCCGAATGCTTCCATACATCCAATGCAATAATCGATTCACGATTATTTTCTCCTTCTTGTACAGCAGCAGCTCTTTCTTTTTGAAATTTTGCCAAATTCAAAGTAGTAAGATAAAACAATATATTTTGTTGTCATATTTTAAAATTCACACATGCAAACTTTTTCGATTTTTTCTCATATGGGATGTGAGAGTTTGATATAAATATGCCAAAGGTAGAACCACGTTATTCGTACCATTTGTTGTTTGACTCGAAATAGTCTCAACAGTATTCATTTCTGTTATAAATAGAAATTCAATGTACAAAATAATGAAAGAAATGAATAGCACACATATACTTATTCCAAAAATGAAAAAGAATGTCTAACAACAACCACAAACAAACGAATATTGTCTTAAGAATGTTAGTTCGGTAGTATATTTAAATGGTTGTTTGGACAAAGAAAATATTTAAATTTAATTCGCAGGAGCTTAATTAAACTCTACAAATGAAATAAAGAAGGTAAGAAAAAAAATGAAGTGAAGAACAAAATCCGAGGCAAGTGAAATACTTTCTCATTAAGACAGTATTGCCCCACAACGGCACTTGTCTCACAAGACACAACGGATACAACTTGTAATAGAAGCACTTCAAACCACAAGTAACAACGAACTTTGAACGAAAATTTTCTATCTACAAGAAAATTGTTTTGAATGACTTTTGGAGAGTATTTTGCAAAAGTTTTTAATGTAATGATCAATGCAAAATGATATGAGATACATAATGGACGTCTAAAGGGTCCTATATATAGAAAAGGAAGGGTATTGAGTGAAGTGTCACGCCCCAAACTTAACAACATTCACAAAAGGAAGCATCCCTTGTTGTCCCTGGCCTCTCGCTCAAGAAATAGTGACACATTTTTATTAGAACATCTATCGCTCGCCTATCACTAGACTGTCGCTCGAGCAATAATCTCTTCACTTGAGCGATAAGCGAGCTATGGAGTTAGCCATTTTTTCACCCCGTATTTTTCTATTCAACTTTAGATCGCAATTTCTCATTTATCAGAAATTGATTTTGAGATTCAAATATACCACAACTATCTACTCAATGAGTAGAATAAGTTGGTCTATTTATATTCATAATTTGAATATCGGATCAAATCCGAATGTTTGGTTAAAGTTGACACAAAAGTCATTTTTCCATACTTAAACTAAATTTATTTTAATTCTCTAAACCAAATTCCAACACCTTATAAATTGAATAATAATAATAGACATATAAGGTCCAAAAGTTGATCAAAATTTAAGTTCAAGTCAACAATTAATTTTAGCCATACATTTTATGGGACTCGCAACTTTTCAACCATATATTCTATTAACTTTGATCAAAATCTATTAAAAATATGATTTTTATCTAAATGTAACAATGGCTATATGTTAAAACAAAATCATGTTATTTAAAAATTACAATGACACTTTATATTGAAATTTAAAAAAAAAAAACTATAAATACATATTTAGTATGTCGCGCTCAAAATATTGGAGATAATAATATATAATACAATTTCTATTTATCTTGAACACAAATGCTATCTCAATTTTTTATGATACTCCATAGGTATATAGTTTCATTAATAAGCGTCACTTTACCTTGCTCCACAGTCCACTCTTGAGTTTATTTCCAAACCTCAACTCTCTTGCAATTTATGTAATGAAATTGTCACACACGTGCAGTATCACGTACGATTTGTTGGCTTAATTATGGCTTGTTGTTGGGGCAATTCTACAGTAAAGCATTTATTATTTTAAGTTAATTTCAATCTCAGAATTAATAAAATAGTACTCCCTTCGTCCCAATTATATAGACTTATTTCATTTTTTCACACAGATTAAGAAATCTTGTTTAATGTCATTAAAAAATTAATTTTTGCCAAGATCTTTCCTAATTTACCCCTATTTAATTTTCAGTATGTAAAACTAAATTATTGTTGGAATTGATAAAGAAGAAGAAGAAATGAGAGTTGTTCCATGTTTCCAAAAAATGGAAAATGTGTGTATTTGGATGATTTCAAGAAGTTGGCATATTAAGTAAAGAAAATTTAATAAGGGTACATTGGTAAAAGAATACAACAAAATATTCTACATTAGGAAATATGCATATATGTTTGAACAAGAGAAAAAGAAAACTCAACCTATATAATTAGGAAGGAGGAAGTAATTTCGCCTCGGCAGGCAAGTCAGTTATTTTATGCTGTCTTTTTATCATTTCAAACAAATTACGTACGCAACACAGTAAAATGACACTCAAATACAAAAATAGAATCAAGCTTCCGTAAATCACTCAGCAAGTTCCAAATTAATTTTGAATTTCTATACTTTGAAGTTTGAACAACGAGTTCCAAATTAATATTTAATTCCTAAACTTTGTAAAATTCCGCGGAAAATACAATTAATTAAATATCTCAAGTCAAATTCGATAAACTACATTTTTAGGAAGTTTTTGAACAAAGTTTCAAATTAAAATATTTTATTAAAAAGGTTGAACCCCAATTTTGAGGGTTCCCCACCGTCCCGTCCCTAAAGTATTGTGGATGAGGTAAATTAAGGGATGCACCTCAACGGGCCAATGTATAAGAACTGTCATATTGGTGTCTACAAAGAGTCCAATTACATACCTTGTAAAAGGTTTATTGTGTAAATGTGTAGTGGAGAATGATATTGTAGCAAACAATTTAAACTTTTAAGTGAAGACAAACAAGGCTAAGCATATTCATTATTCCCAAATAGAGATGGCAACGGGACGGGGCACCCCCGGCCCGCCACTCATCCACCCCATCTCGCCCCGTGCCTCGCTCCACCTTAGACAGGGCATGGGCTTTCCACGTTCCCGTTTATTTTTATTTTTTTCAAAAACTTCTAATTAACTATTTTTTTTATTTTTAATTTGTAGTTAATTATTTTTTTTATTTTTCACGGGGCGGGTTCGAAGCGCTTCGGGACGGGGCACCCCCTCCCCTCCTTGCGCCGCCCCACCAACCTGTCGGGAAGGGTCGGATTTTTTTACCATCACTATTCCCAAACCATAATTCTCTACAGTCGAACAAGTTGCAATTCATGAAGCAATATTTTTTTTTTTCATTTTTTATTAATCAAAGAAACATTTTCCCAAATAATAAATTCAACAATAATTGTACCCGCCAAGTACGCCGATCTGTACCCTTTCCTTCACCTCCTATATTTATGCCACCCTCCTCTCCCACTTCTTCACACACACACACACGCTCAAATCAGTTTCTCTCTGCAAAAAAGTTTCAAAACTCTCAACAATAATGAAGAAGTTGATGAGAAGGCTTTCTAGAGTAGCTGATTCTTCACAGTTCTGTCTTTTGCGGGCGGAATCCAGGGCGGCGAGGCCTCGTCGATCGGGATCTTTCCGAAAGAGGTCTGGGGGAGTGCCGGAGGGCCACCTGCCGGTCTACGTAGGCGAGGAAATGGAACGATTTGTAGTGAGCGCTGAGCTTTTGAATCACCCGATCTTTGTAAAGCTGCTCAATAAATCGGCACAAGAGTACGGCTACAAGCAGAAAGGCGTGCTCCGGATCCCCTGCCACGTTTTCCTTTTTGAGAGGGTGCTGGAGACTCTTCGAATCGGCGGCGAGTCACGTGACCTCCAGGACCTCCTCAACTCACTCTCCGATGAGTTGTATTAGGTAATACAAACGCCGCCGGTCGGCGCGATAATTAGTGGAGTTCAGTTTAATTAAGTAATTAGGAAGATGATTACGATGCTGGTGTAGCTGTTGGTGATCGTATATTTTTTGGATCAGATTTTGTTTTCTTCTTCTCCTTCTCCTTTGTAAATACTTTGTGATGAAGAAAGTGGAGCAGGGTTTTGTAGCTGTGTTTGCGATTTACAAGATTGGTACTCCAAATGTTTCCGTACAAACGGACAACCGGTAGAACGAGGCTGACCTTTGACTCCTAAAGAATTTGGCGTTTACTGTTCAGTTCGTCCTCACGACCATTAAAATAATTTTATTCCTTAAATTAATTTTCAATAATAAATTATCACAATAAAATATTGAGGCCCCGTTGATATCTTATTATTCCAAAATATTGTTTGCTACAGTAAAATATTCTACACACAAACTAATAAAGTTACTTTAAATTTCAACTACACATTCTTCAAAAAATAATATTCACTACTCTATTTTTTTTACAATAATAGGAGACAAACACACGCTGAATAATGTTAATTGTACATAATGAACTTAAATACTGGTTTATAAGCAGATGGGGTGTCAAAAAGAGATTAGAGAATTTTTTTAATTTGGTTGAAATTCTAATTCAATCATATCTCACTACATTATATGTATATAAACAGTATATGTTATATAAATATAGCCCATGTTTGTCATCTTTTAAAATTTTAAATATTTGCTACAATACAATTTTTAACCACACATTCACACAATAAAATATTTTACACAAAAATCAATAAAATTTCTTTACTTTTTAATCACATGTTCTCCATCAATATACCATTTTATAATATATTACAAGAAATTAATGGCTCTCAAATAGGGCCATAGTACAATTGTACAATATTTGTCACTTAAATTCAAAACTTTTTGCTACGTTTTAACTACACATTTTCTAAAAAATCATTATTCCAAAAAAAAAAACTCATTTTAATAGTTATTAAACAAGGAAATTTTACGCTACTGTGATTTTCGTCGTGTTTCCGAAATTGTTTTGAGGATATATTAGTCATTTGGTTGGCAATGTTGCATTGTGTGAAGGATAGTTTGGTCTAATAAAATATCTATAAAGAAATGAATTTAATTTTGTTGGGAGTATATCCCTATTATCTTAAAAGAGTCATCCATCATTTACTTTTCATTTGTGAAGCATTTTTTATCCCCATTTTATCCATAGCCATATACTACCCATCCACTTATCTTCAAAACAAAAGGATACTATGAACTTCTTCTTACCCCCAATTGTTGACTGGGGAAAGACAAAAGAAGAAGCAACCACACAATTGTTGAATGGGGTCAGATAAAAAAAATGAAGCAATCAATCGTAGATTATTGTTGGCACTAAAAAAAAATTGTCCATGTCCGCGATGGAGTCCACACAGCGTAGAGTGTTCACTCCGCGTTGTACGGAGTATGTGGAGTGAATACTCCGACTCCACGCCGGAATGTGACTTCACGTTGTACGAAGTTTTCACTCCGCGCTGCATGAAGTCTTTCTCCCTCGTTGCGCGGAGTGTGGACATCAGTGTCTGTAGTGTCAGCACGCGGACACTAGTGTCCACTCTGTGCAGACAAGTTGTATTTTTTTTTTTTAACCCACCCCCATGTGTGCTATGTACTGTTCATATTTATATTAAAATATGTTGAAATTTAAGTTAGATTTATATTATTAATATACATTATGTTTTATAGTAATTCACTAGAAAAATTTTAGAACAGTGGCCTTGGGCAAGACATGCTACAGTGGCCATTACAATTGGTCATTTATTTGTAGTAATTCACTAGAAAATTGAGTCTTTCCTTTTCGACTTCATCTACTAGATGGTTCCAATCCATTTTTGGAACTCACTTTAAGCTCTAGGAAGAAGATATTATTAGTGATCAAGCCCGTGAATTCAAAATGAGAAAGTTCAAATACAGTGCACGGCCAGCTTATGATCTTCCCCTACAATATGAGAAATTGCTTTATGCAAAAGATGGACTTCAAGTGACCATGGCATTACTGTAGGAGAGTTTATGTTGCCGTGGACGTGTGAAGCTTATTGCTGCAACATTGCTTTTTTGAGTTTGGGAATTCTATCTTTCTATTCATTTATTATATTGCTTTCCGCTATGGTTGGCCTTCTAGTATTCAGGTGAAGATGTTAGGAGTAACTCTGAATAAGAGAAGCTATGACAAAGTTTTGGAGATTACAAATAATTAAGAGGAAAAATGCCAAGTGTTTTAAGACATTAAATATCCAATCAATACAATAGTATTAGTAAATTCAAACGTGAGGAAGCTGAAGTCACTGGATGTTCTTATGGATCATGTGGTAATTTTAGATTTTCTTTAGTTCTACTGATACTCATTTCATACAAGATCAAAACCATCAAATTTTGGAGTTATTTCGATATATTTAACATCAGCATGTTAAACTACCTTGTGTATGATGCATTTCCATTCAATACTTAAAAACGATTTAGTAAAAGAACAAACATTTATTTCTATCTCTTGTCCATATAACAAACTCTAAATGCGCTAATTTTGCTATATTAAAGCATACATTAGTTACACGAGAATCCAACACATCTAATACACTAACATTACCTTAAAAAAAATTCAGCCCGTACATTGCACGGGCAAAGACTAGTATGAATATATGATTGATTATATTCCAATGGCTATTATGTTGTTTGACAAATTGACATCCATTCGAGTAAGTAGTCCATATATAGCAAAACAAGTGTTTTAACTAGGTCGGTTGAGCATTTGTATTTGTTGTTTAATAAACCTTTTAAAAGGCATACCCACCTCATTAATTTTGTCCTTTTGAATATTTTTTTCTACTTTTTCATTACAGTCATAGTTGATTTGGTCTTATCATATATGGTAAGTTCTATTTGACAAGATTTTTCTTTATCCATGGGGAGGGATAATGATGGGGCTGGCAATTCAGACTTGAATTCAATGGAGGTCTAATTTAACTACCGAATAATTTTTTTAAACACAAAATATAATTATATTAAGAAAAAGTCATAAAAGAAATTCTCAAATTTCAATGGGATTGGTACCTCAGAGATCCCACCTGCCTCCGCCAATAGGTTTATGACTTAGGAATTCGAATTGAGTAACATTTATAATTTTTTGTGTTCATTATTATTTCAAATGACAATGGGCGATGGTTCATCTTAAGGTTTGGATTTTTTCCTAAGGTTCATCTTAATGTGATTTTAAGGTTTGGATTTTTTCCTCTAACTAGTAATGACGTTAACCAGTATTATGCGGGCTTGTTCCTTTTAGAGATATTTTCTTATTCGGTTCTTCGGTTCTTGGTCTAGACCCGAGACTCGACCCAAACCTATCGGTTCTCGATTTGAGTGCCCGTTCGGGTATTTAATTTATGAAAAACCTCTCGATTCGGTTCGAATTCGGTTCGGTTCGAAATTTTTGGACACTCCTTATAGGTATAAATCATAGATAATTATAAGCTTTATTTAATTTAGGAAAATTTATGCTGGGGGTCTTCATCTTATAGCATTTGGTATCAAATTTGTAGATTTAGGTATGGAATTGTGTGGATCGCGCATTTAGAAGGGTTTACGATATTTCATTTTGATTTTGTCTTTTTTTTTTTTTTGGTGACTCGTCTTTTTTCACGGTCCAATGTAAGCTTAAGGATTCAAGCACTCAATCTTAAATGGATACGGTGTCAAAATTTTAAAATATAAAGATTGAGAATCCAAATGCACTATTATCATGGACGGGGACTCTTGCATACATTTCTTCTTAAAGGTTGAACCCCAATCTTGAGGGCCTCTCATCGTCCCGCTCCTAGAGCATTGTGGAGGAGATAAATCGCGGAATGTGTCTCAACAGGCCAGTGTACAAGAACTGTCAAACGGGTGCCCACAAAGTCCAATTTCATACCTTGTAAGAGGCAGTAATCGAACTCTCACACTACGGCTACCAGCTCAGATTTATTCTTAATTTAAGTATAGGTGGTTCCATTTGTTGTGACAATATGCATGAACCTAAAATTTCGTGACTAATCTAATCCAATGACTTAATTAACAAATTAATAACAGTGCTTCCTTATCATATGCAAGCTGTCTTTCATTCCGTTTCAAAATCGACAAAAAATGCTGATGAAGCCAAACATGCAATTAGTAGTGATGAGCAAAAGGAGGACGAAGTTGGGGAGGACAAATTATTCTTTTTTTTTTTTTCAAGCCATACATAGAAGAAAAAAATTACGATTAGAAGATATTTGTAACTCTTTGAAAGAAAAAAAAAAAGATATAATTTATATAAATTTAAAAGGTTAGTTGTCTTACGATTAGACGATATGCATACTTTACGTCATTGAAGAACAAAATATGTGCTACAACATGAACTAACATGTCCTAATCGTGAACGATTGAATTTCATTAATTTTTTTAAATACGGTGATACGCTTACTCTAAGAAAAAATTTGAATAATTGATTTAAAAATTATTACGTTGATATTTTATTTATGCACACACACCAAATGTGGAGAAATTTGTTTAAGGTCTCATAGTGAAAGATGGTGGATAATATTTAGTAGTGGTTTTCAACTTTTTTTTCAATTAATCACTTGATTAATACCAAATCAAACAAACATAACAAAACAAATTATATCAATAAACTATTTTGGACCCATTTACCAACCGAAAATAACATATTTGGAATCAAAGGATTGGCAGTTGAAAGGGTGTTAGTGCCCCCACCCCACCCCACCCCACTCCCCTCAAATCATTCTATTGATCATTAAAAATCTTTTTTCAATGAATTGCAATTGCAAATTAAGTGAAGATTAATCAATTTTTAGTTATTTTATTAGAGATTTGATAACCCAAATACCAATCAACAATCATTGACCTAAAGAACTTTGCGGATATGAACTTTAAGAACGTATTTGGTAAACAGTATTCGACGAGACTAAACA